GTTTGTCACCACACATCAAATGCTCGATCTGACTGCTCTAAGAGAAAGGTGTTATTATCCCCCATTTTTTGCTATCAATCCTATTTTTTTATTTTGAATGACCTCAGGCATATACAACAATAAAGAGGCTAACAGAATAAGCATTCGTATTAGAGATACCAACTTTTCAGCTTGAGAAACAAAGCAATACAGATATCATCATCATCTCCATTTCACAGGTGAGAGAGCTGAGCTGAGAGTGGTTTAAAAATGTGCTCAAGCCCGCTGGGTGTGGCTCAGTGGTTGAGTGTTGACCCATGCACCAAGAGGTTGCGGGTTTGATTCCCAGTCAGGGCACATGCCCCGGTTGTGGGCCTAATTCCTAGTGGGGGGCATGCAGGAGGTGGCCAATCAATGTTTCTATCTCTCTCTCCCTCTCCCTTCCTCTCTCTCTAAAATCAGTAAAGAAAAAAAAAATGTGCTTAAGGTCACACAGTGGATACCCGCAAGAGCTGTGATGTGCATATACACCTGTCTGCCTTCAAAGCCTATATTCTTTTTTTTTAAATCCTCATCTGAGAACACTTTTGCATTTATCGTCAGATAGAGAGGGAGGGAGAGAGGGAGGATGAAAGAGAGAGAGAAACATCGATGTGGGAGAGACACACCAACTAGTTGCCACCCACATGACCCCAATCGGGGCCGGGGACAAACTGCAACCGAGGTACGTGCCTTAACGGGAACTGAACCCGGGACTCTCTGGTCCACAGGCCGACACTCTAACCACTGAGCCAAACTGGCCAGGGCCAAAGCCCATATTCTTAATTGATTTTCATGTGTGACATTGAGGGGCATCTTGGTGGAGGTACTCAGATGGTAAATAGAAATATACTATGTGAGACAGAGAGAGAATTCAGGACTAGAAATATTAATAGGGGGATGGCAGTCAAAAGGAAATAAACATAATAAGTGGTCGGAGCACAGACACCTGGGCTGGAGTGATGCACCTTCTCAGAGGGAGAACAAGACGGAAGAGACTATTTGAAAACCTTGCCTGTCCCCAGAGTAAGCTCCACTGATGCTGGCCCAGAGTTTCCCTCTTGGTTCCTGGGAAAAAGGCAGGACCGTCTGCTGTCTGGGAAGTCCTTGCCTGGTATATCTGGCATAGGGCTAGGCCAAAGAAGACATCAATACTTTGCATCACCGAGTTTATAAAAATCCTGAAGGTGAGGATGCTATTTTTTTCCAGGCAGAACCCCAAATGCAGCTCTAACCATATCATACTGGGTATCAATGTGCTTCTAGCTGAGACCGGGCTTGTTCGAAGATGTGTGCCCTCCACTGAGGTTTAATGCTGCTGACTAGGATTTTACTGAGTTTGTAATCGTTAGCAACACTACCTACTGAGGAAGCATTTCTTGGCCAGATCACAAGTTTTATTTGCCTCAGGAGAGATGTAAGTATTCTGGAAAAAGTCTTGCAAGTTTTTTTGATAAATATCCAAGTCTCCTCAGGCCGCTGAAGATCACAGGATTTTGGGACAGTTCCCAGTTAATATCAAGTTTTTCTTTAAAAATCCCTATAGCAATTTATTTGCAACTAGAATATATGTGTGATAAAAATGTCCTAAGAAGATGTTTTCCAGAGGAAGTTGGGCAACACACAATAAAATAGATTAGGACCTGGCATATGACATGTATGCTTGGAGCTTTTTTTTTAAAAAAAATTATCTTTATTGTTGAAAGTATTACAGATGTCCCCCTTTTTTCGCCTACTAACTCCCTCCACCCTGCTTATGAACCCCTTTAAAAAGATCAGAAACACAGAAGTAGAGACCATATTATTTTGACTCTCTGATTTCCCTTCTCTACAAAGACAGGCTAGGCACGGTACAAAACTTAACCCTGAGATCTCACTGGCTCTCATGTAACAATCACCATAAAAAGTGTTTGTTCCAAAGGATTCTGCTGTAACTCTTTAGAATAGCTCCCTCCCAAGGAATGACTGGAGGAAACAGTCTATTTCTCTCTTTATTCATTTTAATCTAATGCTGAATGGTTTGGGGCCACAATCACAGAGTGAATTTATCATCATTGTTCTTTTTATAATCTCAACAGGTGTCCTCCAAATATCAAGACCAGGGAGGAGAAAGCTGAAGAGTCACACACACACATTTTGCAGAGCTCTGGCCCAAAAATAACATATCATTTGTCCAGAACTGGTCACATGGTCCCACCCAAGAGTATCAGGATTGAAGAGTGTAATCTCCTGTGTGCCTGTGAAGAAGGAAATTAAATATTGACACATAGAGTCACACCTACCTACCATTTTCACAAAGGTGAAAATCACTGAAACCTCACACTGAAGAAAAAGGGCACAGTTATGGTGTTCCATGGTGAGGGAAGTCATTTGATGAATGTGCAGGTAACTAGGTCTTCACCCTATTGTCTAATATTTCACTTGATGGTAAAAATAGTTTTGTTGAAATATACTTATTTTCCATCCACGATTCACAAATACTAAAGATCAATAGCCACTTTCCAAGCCCCTGGGTAAAGGCCGATGTAGTGTAAACTTGGGTGTGTATCCATCTGCAAATTATGTAGTTGCTGGAAGAAAGTTTTTCTCCCTTCTCACTTCTTGGTTCTGGGGCCAGAGGGAGAGATTTCTGCTGTGTGAGGACTCCGAGATGCAGCGTCCACCCAAATGACCTGTGGTTCATGCCAGACACACCAGATATCAAACTTCAAGAACTAAGGATCTCAAGTCTGTCAATTATTTTCTGTATAGTTAAAACAGAAAATGTAGGAAGTAGATTAATTGCCCTGAGGCTTCTTTTGGCATTTCCACATGCTCTGTTGTCCATCTAGTTAGTTCACTTTTCATCTTCTTGGTGTTATCCATATCACTGTCATTGAACTTGGTCTGTCTCCTCTGGGTCTCCCTTCAATAGCCCAGCATCTGCCACCGTACCTTGGGTGTGACCATAAGTCAATTAATATCAATGTTTCTTAAGTAAATTAATGGCTAGTTTCACTTTTTGCCAAATTTAGGATCAACATGGTCAGCCAAGTCAATCTATTCTAGGTCCTCTTTTTCACGGCTCCTTGCCAACTCTTACCATTTGGTAGTTTGGAGAAACAGTGAAACTTGAGGATCTGAGGCAGCATAAGTACAAGAAAGTGCAGAATGCCTGTCAGAGGGCATCACAGTTGGTGATCTAATAACCTGGACAGTGATTGGGGCTGAGGGACAAGTCAAAAAGGTTTCCTGAGAAGACTGTTAGATCAAAATAAAATGTTTATTTATAGAGGCTTCTTTCCCTATTGTTATTTTATTTCTAGTTTGCTGTATGTTAATAGATCCTAATAATATGAATATAATTCTTTACTCATTTTAAGTTAATGTAGATTTTATTGCTATGGTTTGCAAAAGCTATATATATTTTTTTAACTAATCGGGACGTTTTTATTTTGCATTAGGCTACTTAAATTTTTTGGATTTACATCTTGTCACCTACCAATTAGTGTTTTGGGTGCTTAAAATAACATACGCTAATATGCAACAGGTCAGACATAGTTGTATGCAAAATCTGTTCCCCAAGTAGAGCAAACTCTTGATTAGTCACCAGCAGAGGGACAGAGAGCCTTCAAAGCATGTAAGTAATCTGAACATCATTAAACCACTCAAAATGGGTTCCCCCAAACGGATACAGGATTCCTAGTACTGCTGGAATTTGGAGACAGAAGCTACCTTTGAGCTCATCCTCATTAACTGAGGAGACTGAAGTTAGTGTTGAGTTGGTACCCAAATATTCTATTAGCAAGGAAGAAATTATAGCCCTGGGTCAATTTTGTCATATACAAATGTCAGCAGACAGTACTTGTCCTATCAGCCTCCCAAAGTGGTAGGAGGATGAAATGATAAAAAATACATGAAGGAGATCTGAGATCTGGAAATTCAAAAATAAATGATTAAAGAAAACTGTATTTGGAAGACTGCAACTGCCTACCAGGCTTTGGGGGGGAAGAGGTTAAAAAGTCTCTATAGTCAAAGACTTTACAATCCAGTTGGAAAGAGAGGTGAGTAAGAGCTAGAAAAACATGGAATAGCTATTCTAAGACCTATGCCCAGTTTTATGGAATTTTAGTAATGGTGGATTGTTGTACGTGGAGGGTTACAGGAAAAACGGTGGGTGTGTGCGTGCGGGGGTGGGGTGGGTGGGGGACCGCGCGTCTTCTCTTTGGCTTTTCCCAGTGGCTTAATGCTAACAATGGCGACAACTACTGTTAACGTAAATGAAAAAATGATACCTTATAATGGATGCTTTTTTTCTATATCTTCCAGTTCAGTTAGAGGTAAGTGAAGATGACAGATGAGCAGCCAACACTGTGCCAAGGAAAAGCGTCTTTTCCAACAGTGCCAACAGCGTCCTCGCAAGGTGATGAGAGATGCTTGACTTCACAGATCACCCCCTGGGCTCTAACACGGCTGCTGCTGTTTCCACCCTCATCCCAGTGCTATGCCCGGCTGGGGCGCTGAGCCATGCAGACAGCCCACTGGGCCGTGCTGGACCGGGGGACCTGGTGGCAGCATTTTGGGGGCTCTACCCCAAGTCCCACCTATGCTGGGACGCTCTGGAAGGAGGCCGATGGGCCTGTGGAGCGGCGTGTTCCCCATCTCTCCTCCGGAGGCCACACCCAACACAGGGCCCCCATTGTGTCTTGGGGAACAGTAGCGCCGCAGTATCTCGCTGGCTGCCCCTCTTAAAAAGGAGCGAGCGACTATCGCTCGGGCGACCCCAGCCAGGACGAGGTGGGGCGGCGGCGGACTGGGCAGGTGGCAGCAGGGCAGGTGGCCGGCGCGCGCAGACGCACGCTCTAGGGCCGCGCGGGCGCCTCGTGCTCACACGCCCGCCGTGCGCTGCAGCCGCCGCACCTGGAGGCGGAGCCAAGCCCCGCAGCCGCCTGCTCCCGGCGCGAAGCCCCCTCCCCACGCCCCTCCCGCGGCGCTGTAGATGCGCGTAGGTGCGTGAGCCGCCGTGCACCTCGGACCTTGCAGACGGGGCCCGCCATGGAGCACATCCGCACGCCCAAGGTTGGTGGCGCGGGCGCGGGCGGAGGAGGGAGCGGGAGGATGGATGCTGCGCTGGCCGGAGGCCTGCTTTCCCTGCGGGGCGCTGGCCCAGTCTGCACCGCGATCCGAGGAGGAGGCAGCCGAACCTGAGCATCTCCCGGTTCCCTGTGCGCTTCATCTTTCTCTTGCTGCCTCACAGGCCTAGCCGTGGCTGATGCTGCATCTAACCTCTTGTCCTTGGGGGTGCGCAGTGCATGTAGGGGTGGACGGGAGGGAACCTCAATTGTCTGTGGAGCAGTTGGGTTGCTGATCTGATAAATGCTCCTTGTGATCCCGCACTAGGTTACTGTTGCCTTATTTATTTATTTATTTATATTATTTTTAAAATTTTTCTGCTCAGAGCAGTTGAAAGAGAAACAAACCTTCCTAACGACAAGTGCAAGAAACCTAGTTATGAGCAGGTTGGATTGAATGCACTCGGGAAGCTTGTTGAATCTAAGGGTTCAGACTCACCCAACTCACCCTCCCGCCTCCACATCATCAGGCTGTGAGCTGCAGTGGACCTTACGCGGGGCGATGATCAATATCCACTGCAGATTCAATGTTATCAATCCTTTCGTCCTCTTGACTTTTCCAGCCTGTTTCGTTCATTGGGGAGAAGAGTGCAACTTATAGATTCGTCCACTGGTGTGGGTGGAACACCAGCTTTTGTCACTCGGTGAAAGCAACTGATCCTGATTCTTCCCGTTAACGCTGCAAACATTGACGGCTGTGCCAACCCTTCCTCTGTCGTGTACTTGTAATATAATTTAGAGTAGAGAGATGACCCACATCCCTGTCTAATAAAAACTTTATAAACTAGTGAAAGAATTTATTTGAAAAGTCTACTGGCCATCTCTCCTTACTACCACCACAGCCGCTTTCGTTTAAGCTGGGTCTGAGTGGTCAGAACTTGGGTAGCGCCAGGGATCCCACTCATCTCATGAGGGCAGGGGGACCATTACTTACCCAGTAAGAAGAGTTCATTTTTAAATTCTGGAATGGCTCCTAAGTACCTCTTTGTAAAAGCTACCTTATAATTATCTCATGTCAGTGGGAAACAAATCTTTTAGTTTGCTAGAGACTGTCAGTTCCAACAGTAAATTTAAATTGTATTTATTTTGCACGATGGGATTAAATTGTTGCTTCACAATCAGGAAATTGTAAATGTAGAAGGGAGTGCCATAAACCACAAGATAGATGGCTCGAAGCTTTTAGGGTTTAAGTACTGCTAAATAATTTACTCCGGAATGATGAATTTAACTCATGGCTTCTCTGCCCTTGCCAAGGGCATCCTTTTTTTGTCATTGTCCGATAGAATATGAATCTGGGGAGCAAAGGCCTCCTCTAGTCCATATGCAGACTCACTCGATACAGAGCCATGTGTGTAACCCTGAGCAGCAACAATATTCTCCCTTATTCTTAAAACTGGATTTCATAAACACCTTCTAAGCAGTGTAGTACTTCAAATCAGTACTTCTTTCTATGAGGCAATGCAAAGAAATGAGGGAAAATGGAGAATTGCCTGAAATGTCAATGAATTGAAGGTTATTCACATTTAGGATAATGCAGGTGGAAAAAATAAACTATAGAGGTTGGGTGGACCTGATTCGTGTATTCATTCATTTCATTCCACAAGCATTTGCGAACTTTTCATCTGCCAGGCTCTGTGTTAGGTCCCGGGAGCATGAAGCATCAGGGAGCTCCCAGTCAGCAAGAGGAGACTGTTGTAAATCTGGACAGACATATGTACAAGGGACAGCAGGCAGGGTGGGGAGAATGGGTGGAAGATGAGCTCTACCATAAAGGGGGAGGGAAGCCTTCGTAGAAGAGCTGGGTCATACATGCCCGGAGTCAGGAGTATCAGGAGCATTTGAGATAGCTGTCAGGCATTGTGTGAATATGATGTACCCAATCAATTACCACCTTAAAGAAGCTGAGAACCTTAAGGATGAGAAAGATAGAAATGATGAAATGACCCCTCAAGGTTAAACAACCTCTCTTTTCATTTTACATTTTTAAGGGCAAAATGATTTTCATGGTATAAATGAAAAAGAGAACGAGACTACTGGCAGAGTGTGTGTTGCAAAATATATAATTATTGATGGTTATTCTCATCTTTATTATGTGCTTCTATCATACTCTGGGAGTGCTGAATAGGTAGCTTGCCTTAAACTTCACAATTTCATGTCTTAGGTGGCTTATAAGGAGTTTACGCAGAGTTGTCTATCTGACCCACTCTGGATTTGAAGTGATATTCACCATGTGGGTAGCATGGGTTTATTTAAAGAAATGCACGGGTGCGTAATGAATGCACAGTTGCTTTCCTACTACAGTGAAAGCCATTCATTCGCCCTTAGTAAGCTCTGTGGTGTCTGTCACAGCCTCTGTGTTCTGCTTCAGGCTCAGGAGTTCAACTTAAGGAGACAGACGCACTTGAACAAGCTGAAATGCTTTGCACATGTTTCTTCTTGGGTGTGTGTGTTGAACCGAAGGCTCTGACAGAGCATATGCAAAGCAGGGTGTTTCTCCCAGAACAATTCCTCTAGACAGCAATTTTCAACCTTTTTCATCTCATTTAAACTAATTGCTAAAATTCGGCAACACACCAAAAAATATATTTTTGTTGATCTGACAAAAAATAGGTATAATTTTGATTCATGCACACCATATAGCTATTGTTGTGTTAGCTGTTGTCATTTTTGTATTTGACAATCTAAGGGAAAAGAGGTCAGTGTCCCTAACTAAACAGCTGTTGTGTGTTTTAAAAATTGTTATGGCACACCAGTTGAAAGTCGCTGATGTATAGAATCAGTGTTCCAGAGACAAATTAGTTTGTAGTTAGGTTGAAGTGAGGACACCAAGCATTACCTGGACTCATTGTCGTGAACTTCACTGTCTGGCATTTTCAACCACTCTGAAAACTTGCCGATAAGAGACTACCGTGCAGGGATCATTTAGGTTCAAGTACTACTTAGTTATATGAAAAGTTTAGGGCAAGCCTGACATGTTTGTAGGATTTGGTTTGGTACTGGATGGGATGTTAATGGGTCCAAGGAGCCTGGCTAACTAATCTCCACTTTTTGTACTTTGGTCTTTCTGGAAGACATGTTTTCCAAATGTGTAAATCTGAGTTGTAAAATGGAATATGTGATGACCTTTCAAAGCAGATCGTAAAAATGTCTTCTCTTCCTCCCCCCCCGCCCCCCCAAGTCTGAGGCCACTAGACTAATTGCCTCCTAACTGGCCTGGTTGGTTTGTTTTTTTCTCTTCTCTACTCCCTTCTCCACGGAGGGAGCCTGGGTGATGCCTTTTTTGACTCAAGTTGGTTATATTACTTCCCTGCTCAGATTCTTGGGTGGCTTCCCCTTGTACCCAGGATATAAAGTGAGAATCCCCAGAGTGGACTGTTAGGCCTTGTGTGGACAGACCTCTTTTTATTTCCCTGGCCTCATTCTGTGACAGTCTTCTCATTATTTACTTCCCACTGATCACCACTGGCCTCGTGGGTTTCTCAAATGTCAGGTTCTTTCCGGCCCCAGGACTTTTGCACTGTCCTTTCGTCAGGGGAACACTCCGTCCTCTCTTCACCTGGCGAAATCTCTCACCTTTGAGATTGGGTGTAATTTCTTCCGAGAGGCTCCTGCCCAGTTCCTCATCTAAATCAGATCTGCCTGTTACATCCTACTGCAGAGCCCCGTGCTTCACATCACGGGCCTGGGGACACGTTCTCTATTTGAGTGATGGTTTGTTTCATGTCAATCTCCCCTGCTAAACCAGGAGCCCCACAAAGGTGAGGATCATATCCTGTTCACCCCTGTATCCTCAGCACCTAACCCAGCTGCTGGCACCAAGCAAGCACACGCTAAGTAAAGGAACATTCGAATCAAGGACGGGATGAATAGGTCCCGGTTCTAGCAGTTCTATTTTCAGTGTTGCTGTAGTAATCCAGGCCCTGTGTGCATTGTACCCGTGACTAAGTACGGTGTTGTGAATCTTCTAATCGGACGAGTGCCAGGACCTGTGAGGGTCAATATGTTACGTGAAATGTATGGTGTATCTATAATGATATGCATTTTGTGATGATACATAGTTTGAATGAGATAGAATTCAGATAGCATTCACCATTTCAGTCCTTTTACAGTGTGCAGTTCAGCGCTTGTTAGTCCACTTGCCGTGTTGTGCAGCAGTCCCCGCTGTCTTCCCGGAGAAACCCAGCACCTGCTCGTCGTGCTCATGGCATTCTCCTGCTCAGGACAACCCCTAGTCTGCCTTCAGTCTCGTAGATTTGCCCAGGCTGGGTATTTATTTTTTTTTATCCTCACCCAAGGACATTTTTTCATTTTTGTTCAGATAGAGTGGGAGGAAGGGAGAGAGAAACATTGACGTGAAAGGGACATATTGAGTGGCTGCCTCCTGTACGACCCCAACCAGGGCCAGGGACAAATTGCACCCGAGGTACGTGCCCTTGATCGGAATCAAACCCGTGACTCATTGGTCCATGGGCTGACGCTCTAACTGCTGAGCCAAACCAGCCAGGGCCAGTCTGGATATTTTATATTAATAATATACTATGTGGCCTTTGATGACTTGTTTCTTTCATTTAGTATAATCTTTTCTAAGTTCATCCAGTAGCATGTATTGGTAATTTACTCCTTTTTACTGTAGAATCATATTCCATTCCTTGGATATGCAGCCTTCTGTTTATCTATTCATCACCTGATGGGCATTTCAATTGTTCACAGTTTTGGATTGTTATGAACAGTGCTGTTATGAACACTCATATACTTGTTTATTTATTTATTTATATTTATATTTTATTTATTTATTTATCCTCACCTGAGGACATTTTTTTATTTTTTGTTCAGATAGAGTGGGAGGGAGAGCGAGGAAGAGAGAGACAGAAACATTGACGTGAAAGGGACACATCGAGTGGTTGCCACCCACACGACCAAACCAGAGCCGGGGACAAACTGCAACCG